TGGGGCTGGGGCTTTTTCATCGGATCTTTTATCTTTTGTAAAGTTCTCAACAGCAGCGTTGAGAGGCATGACCGACCTCAGAATCCGCCTCCAGAGGCCTCGTGATTGTGTGAATCTGGGACCCGAAGTTATATCTAGCGACATTTGTAAGACCAGACTTTTGTTGGGAACTATTGGGAACCTGATTTTGGCGCTTTTCAGTAGCCCGAACCTAGTAAGATTGCCAAACCCACCACTCACAAGCACTTTGCCTTCCTCGTTGTTTATCTGCGACCTTTTGCAGGCTCTCTCGGTGGAGGTGATTATCGATGTCATCAATTCCAGTGTTGGGCGCATGAAGAAGGAGGGCTGGGAGGAGGCCTCACCGATGCGAAGGTGAAGTTTTCTGCGGGCGAGGTGAACAGCGCCTTCTCAACGGCTTCTCAACGGCCTTGAGTCAGTGTCAACAGTTTCTCGGAACTGCAAAAGGCTTGTGTCTCGCGGTGCTTTCATTCTTGCTCAAGTCGCTTTGCTTGTCCTGAAATTTGCAATGGGATGACACTTCCATATTGGCACGCTGGTAGGGTGAGTGGGATTTGAGACACCTGTCTCATCCTGTGCTTTCAACACAGGTGTTCAACTTGATGTTCGACCTCCCTGAACTGCGCTTGCCAACGAAGAAGGCCGCGGAGGCGCTGTAGGGAGGAGGAAGAAGCCCCAGGGAGGAAGGGCAGAAGCCGTGGTAGTTTCCAAAGGTCACTCACCAGATGGGAAAGGGCTCAGTTTCCCTGTCCTGGGATTTTATGGACTAGTGACTAGTGACTAGGTAAGGAATCATTCGGCAACAAAAGAGAGCAGTCGAATGGCCACAAGAGAGCAGCAGGTTACGCAGGACTGGTCTGGATACGACGGGACCGAGTGCCGCCTGCCATTTTTTGGAACGACTGCAGCATTCGGAGCGGTTGATGCCAAATAGAAGGGACCTGTGGCATTGAGAGTTGCCTCTGAGCCTCTCAGAGCAACTGTGTGAAGCCTAGCCTTCAAACGACTCATTGCATCCAGAGATGAGAAAGCTTTCAGGCCTTGCTTTCGGCCTTCAAGCATGCAAGACCGGGAGTGAGGGCCTTAAAGTCACTGAATAGAGCCGATCGCGGACCTTGCGTGACACGGTTGTCGTCCAAACATCCAAAGCAAAGGGGTAAGACGCCATCAATGCCATGGTCTTTTGCGATCCAAAGAGGTGCGCCACGCCACTCCCTTTCGCCCAGGTGGATTTTCCTTTGGAATCGGTGCTGCGAATTCGCAGGAGCGCACATGGCTTGAGCCACAGCAGTGGAGGGGGTCCACAAATTAGATTGTGAAGCTTGAGGTTCCGAATTCCAATTTGTTGGGAGGCCTGAGGGAGTAGTGAATATTGGGAAGCATGGTAGGTGCGGTTCAGGCAGTTCAGCAGCGGACAGAAGTACATGACCATCTACTTCATACATGTCTAGAGCATAAAGTGGATGTATTGTGAGATGTTTCTCTTTCGTGTGTGCTTTGATGACTCTTGTAGGAACACCACTGCGCAGCTGCAGTTCATCCGCCATGCAGTTCATTCCTCAGCGACGGTGATCACCCTCGATGCTCGCAGCGCGCGCGATGGCGGCGGCCACACGCGGCGGCGAGGTGATGGGACTCAGCACGCCGCTGAATTGGTCCGAGCACAAGCCGTGTGACACCTGGAGTCTGCCGTTCTGCCGGTTTTGGAACGGGGTGGACACACAGGATTTGCAGGACTTGGCCACACGTTCATTACTTATTAATGCTGGACGACATCATACTTTCTGCTCCCAAAGGCAATTGTGAAGACAGCCCGAGGTTACCGCCAATCACAGGTCTTCCAGGTGGAGAGGCAAGACCGTTTGGGATCAGTGCTTGGCAGTCAACTGTAGACTCCAGACCGAACATGTGCTTGATGAGTCTCAGTCTCAATGGTTCTGAAGCAAAATTCCACTCCACCGTTTATTGCAACGCCAAGTCCAGCGTCAGTACATGTGCATAGCGTGCCCAGGTGACTGCTGTACTGTCAACATTTTCAGCTTTAGCAGACATTTTGTGGAGTGGCCTGATGTTGGATGTACAGACCCTTGTTGGATGTATAGACCTTGGTTTCCTTCCAATTCTATTCAACTATATATATCTCTTTGATTTGCTGCCGGTCTCGGTAAACCTCTTGTGCTGCTTGCTGTCTGCAGGGGTCCGCTAATACCGCGGGGCCTGGCAACTGTCAGAGCTCCAAGTCGTCGGTGAAGCTTGGGCTGTCCCAGCTTGGACGGTGGCGGCTGCGGATTCGCCCCGCGTGACTCTGCGCGTTTGCGCGGAGCATGTTTGCACAATGGAACAGTGCTTCCTTGTGACTCTGCTGTAGTAACTGTAGTAAGGGCTACATATCACGAAAGCCAGCCGATAGGCTAGGCTGGAGTCGTCGATGGGCGAACGAAGTGAGTATTAGGGGGTGCCAGAGCCTGGTGGGGGAGAGCGAAAAAAAGGCAGGCTGTGGTGATGCAAGTGATGTAATCGACTGATAGTGCATCATTAGCATCATGAGGGGTTTAGAAGGCAATGTAAACGTCTTCTACCAGGGGTTGGATTTCATGTCGATGATAGGCAAGGGGGACAACGGGCCAGAAAAGTGGTTGGAGATGTGCGTCTCTGCTGGGCATTGAAATATTGTCTCTTAAGACACTGTTGTCTTGTGGAAATGATGTGATGTGTGATGGCAGGAGAGGGAGTAGAATGCTGTGGGGAAGGGATTGATGTGATCCGTTGAGAACAAAAAAACAGAAAGCAGCATAGTGGCATAGTAGCCAGGCGCAAAAGAGCACCCCATATGGGGTGGGAGTTCATGTGGATGATAGGCATGGCGGGGGAGGATGTGATAGGAACGGAGGCGGGGAGCTCACCAGGGAAGCGAGAAGTGCGTTGCCCAGCAGCAAGGGAGATGTGTGCTCCAGAGGCCACTTAAGCGGTCTGGTAGCTGGGGTGGGAGTGTAGGAATTCGACAGGGAACGCCGGGATGTGAAAAGTGGTTGGAAGTCCTCCGGACAAGGGAGATGCGCGTCGTCCAACACTCTGCTTTCTTGTGGCTAATACGAATCCTTCTTGTGGCTGTCGCCTTCAATAGGGAACAGAATGCTGTGGGCTAGCTTTGAGCTGCTTGGGGGTGCCCTTTCTCTATGGTGAAGAGGCCTGTTGACTAGAAGCAAAAGGGCACCCCATATGGGGTGGATGTTCATGCGGAAGACATACATAGCGGAGGAGAACGTGGTTGGCAAAGAGTGATTTCGAGAAATCTCTGAGTTTCTTGGGGGTGCTCCTTTTTATGGTGAAGAAGCCAGTTAACCATACGCAAAAGGGCACCCCATATGGGGCGCAAGTTCATGTGGAAGATAGGCATAGCGGGGGGTTCACTCCTATATCTTCTGCTTACTATTGCCCGATCACAGGCCGCTCTTTGCCCGATGTGACACGCTCACTTGATCTTGGCTCTAACTGACGTCGAGGTGCCCCTTTCTCTCTTCCAAACGCCCCTTCGTCCACAAGAACAAAAGCACCTCGCCCCCACCAACTGTGACTGAAGGCCTATCATGTTGACCCCGCCTTATGCCTCCCAAAGCTTCCTGCGCTCTCGCATTCACCCCCGCTGACTAATTCATATCTCCTTACGGAGGCTGGCTTTCGTCCCCTTCCTTCTCAGGATATATACACACACACTGCAATTACTTGAGTGAAGTACTCTCTAGGGCAATCAAACGTTCTCACAGTCTCCGGCCGAAGACCAAAGATTGGCCTAGGTTGGACTTGCTTAAAGCTCTTAGAGGCATCGGCACCTTTTGAGCTTGTACACCAGTTCATGCGTCATGAGGACGACCTATGTTCAAGCTGCAGTTGCTCGCCTAGCCCTAGCCCTTCGTCGCTCGCCGCTGCCAGGTCCTTTTTGAACTGGCCGAGGTGGAGGATTACAATGCCCGGAGACTCGGAGACTTCAAGCAGCGAAGAGATGGGCCTGATGGGTAGCACAAAAGATCAACCACCTTAGAGAACACCTTAGAGACACGACGATTGAAACAACACCACTCAGCTGGGACCAAGTCTTGCTGCTTCTTGAATTCAGCCACTTCACGAAGGCCTCGCCCCAACGAGAAATCATTGCTTTAGGTTGTCCGCAAGCTGTTCGAGATGGCCTGGCGGCTTGGAGTCTTCAAGCAAACAATCAATTGTGCGAGTGAACCTCTTTCGACATACCGCATATCACAAAATGTTTCCGCCAGGGACATGGCTTGAGACCTCATGCAGTGCTGGTCGCTTGCTGTCTTGCAGAGGAGTGGCCGAGCCTGTACAAAATACAGACCACCAGCACACTGCTTCATCACCCCCAAGGCATCAACTTCCAAAAGCAAATGTCCAGCAAGCCTCCATGATACCTCGCCCTTGGTGCAGGATCGCTCGCGGGGGACGATGCGTGCAGATATTCTGGAGAAGTTGGCCGGTGCTCCAAGCAGACCTGGAACCCGTGTCTCACGTTCTTGACATCCTCAAATGACTCTGCACGTGATCAGAACCAACCATCTCAGCGCATGGCAGTGTCATGTGTAGGTGCACCACCCCAATGTCAGTACAGAATCTTAGATGTAAGCATATGTCAGCCGGAATCATCCAGAATCTCAGATTCGGCCTTGTCAGAATCAGATGTGTGCGGGAAGGCGCCATTTTCACGTGTACCAAACCAACACTTCTTCCGCTGCAGCCAACTGGCATAGAGCTTTGACTGATAGTTTCTGCTGTACAAGCACAGGCTCACCGAAAAGATGCTCAGATGCTGGGAGAGCAAAGCGCCTGGTCGACCGCTTTGCTTTAAGCTAAAAGCCACGAGGTTGTGCAGTGTGTAGCAGACACAAAGGTTTGTTGGGGAATGACTTCAAGGAATTAATCACAAGAAACATGCTTGAGGCCATTCATCAAGGTGCATGCAACAACTCTGTAGCTTTAAAGTCCAGACATTCTGCCTTCGTCCTTTGGCCATGGGGTGGCACTAACCTGGTGCTAAGACGCATGCTGTCACCTCCGGCATTTGGGCACCGTGGATGGTGCCCCCACGACATCCATTCACCATCCCTGGTCACGGCGGTGCCATCGGTCTCCTTGCCACGTCGAGTCGAAGGCCACTGAAGCCACCGCTTTCGGTTAGGCCGTTGTTCACGTGACTCCGCATTCGGGGAGACTCGGATAGGTGATTCTTCCTTGCAAACTTGGACACCTGCTTTTTCTGAACCGGAAGAATTGATTCGCCATTTGGAGCTGTCAGGTCGCACGCGGAGCTACACAGCCTCGCTTGTTATTGGTTCTTTGGTGTCATGCGTTACGGACCTTCAGCAGAAGAAACGGAAGAGGTCCAGAAGATTCATTCAGCTTAGAGCGACCAGTGCAGTCGAGGTTTTCGCACGTGCTTGGTAGCTTGGAGATACTGTGGAGCATTTTTCCTTTCTCCTGTGGAAGCAGTTCTATAGTCCAAAGCCAGTTCGGCGTGTCTGTCGAATGTTCGGGTGTGTTTCCATACTTGGACTCCCTCGATTCTTCAAAGTCTCTGAGCTCGAGGGTTGTTCAACGATTAAAACATTGTCTCCTATCAGAGCTGATTCCCTCCACTGAGATTGAGATGTTGGAGTATGTAAAATTTCAGGGACTATGAATGTTGCATTTTAATTTGGGCTGTTGTCCCTACTTTTGCGTCATGAATGCACGGTTTGACGTCAATGTCAGGTATCCCCTCGGTTTTACTGCGGTCACAGACCGCGGGAAGCCACACCACTTGCGTGTTTGCAATGTGCCTGTGGTCTTTTGGCATGACGGAGATGCGTGGCGCGCTGCGATTGATGAATGCCCACATCGACGGGTCAGGCTGTCAGAGGGACGACTCGAAGGATCAGAGCAACTTGGCGTCCAAGACCTACTCTCATACTACTGGTGCTCTTGATACAATGAAAATATGTATGTATACACATACAAACAATAAGGGGGCAGTACAGTCGGCCTAAGGCAAGCATAGCAAAATGGGACGATATATATATATATATATTGTCATTGTGTTTGTCGATCCATTTGCTCCAGTAGCTGGCTAGCTTGGGCAACTGCGTTGACTGTCCATAGGCCAGCTTGTGGGTGGAATATCAGCGTGTTTGCAACGGAGCAAAGCTGGTAATAGATCAGACAGTTTTCCACGGCTTTATCGATTCTCTCCAATGGCAAGTTTTCTGACGACACAGGTTGCAGTGCCCCTATCATGGCTGGACGTTCAATGGTCAAGGCCTTGTGGACGGGACGTGGGGTGCATACGTCACAAAATGAGAAACCAAAATATATATAGAGACAGGATCAGGATTTTGACAGTGATTTGACAAAGGTCTGATGTGAACTGGATGTAGGCGGCTTTTGCACACCTTTGCTGTCAGCCATACACCGAAGCCCACAGAAAATGAAGAGCGAAAGGACTGACAAGAGAGGAAGAGTGATGAGGAGGTAGTCCCTCCCCGTTTCTCCTCGATCCAGGCCAATGCACAAGGATCCCTCAAGCCGACGAATCATCGCAGAAAGCCCGACTATCTCCACGTGCTTGCCTATCCATGTTGCCTACAGAGGAAAGGACGGATTGTGAGAAGGTGATTGTAAACAAGTTCTCGTTTTTTTCTGCAATGTTAATTTAAGTTTTCTTGAGTATTTTGTTGCACAATGTTTCAACACATCTACAACAGCCAACAGAGATACAGCCAACAGACATCAGACATGTGGTCTGGCGCGGAGCTTCGGCCGTTTTGCACGAGGAACGGTCTTTTGTTCCTTTGGGCAGCGGGGCTATACGGAGATCCGGAACCACCAGATCATCAAGCGCTGGATGAGCTGATACACCAGGAGGAAGGGGAACTGCAGTAGTTTTGTTTTTTGAACAATGGACTAATGGACTAATGGGAACCTTCAAAGACTAAGAACCTTTTTGTTGGCCTTGTATTTTAGAATTGTCACGTGACGAGCCACGTGGACAATGGACACATCACTTTGGCAGGACATCTTCGCAATACCTGGTGTGCAGTATGTGGACTATTCAAGAGATTTGTTTATGGACATGCCCATTCTTCTTGAGCCGCTTTGACTTTCTGATCACATGCAAACTGGATGGGGTCAAAAGAATATCAAACGCAAACAGGGTCTGCTGTTTGAAACAACGAATTGGTACAATACTGACAAGGGAATGGCAACCCTCATGAACTGCAGTTTAGGCCTACAACTTCTCTTTGAGTCAACCAATATATATATATATATATACAGTACAGACTAGTGCAGACATGCATGTCAAGAAACCCACCAAACAAGCACCTTCCATGAGGAATGTGCTTGATCCTGCACACCTGCCATTCACACATCATGCCACAATCAGCACCCTGGCTCCATTTTTGAGACTCTTTTCTTTTTTTTGCCTGATAGATTCGACACTTTGTTGATGCTGCCAACCACATCTCAGCCTTGCCCCAAGCTTAGGCAGCAGGAAACAGGCTGCAGAAATCCCTATCCAGATCACTTCCAGAGATCCAGGAGGTTTTACAGGCGAACTTGTCGACTTCACTGTTTGATTGAAGTTGAGAGCTTTCCAGTTGAGGATGTTGATCCGTGTCTGACCTTGGGGACCAGGACCGCCCCTTTTCGCAGTGAACCGCAGGTCGCAGAGATAAACCTCAGCTCCAAGCGTCTGGGGTGGTGTCCTACAAGGCTCCCAATCACGTTTGGTCTTTGACAGATCGCAAGGACTCATATCGTAGCTTGGCGGAGCCGATCAAATCACAATCGAATCCGCACAGCGTGTATCATGCGAACCCAGTCCACAGTCCACTGCAAAGTTTTTCCCAGGAAAGTGGCGAACCCATATTGTAAGATCTAGTACCAGAGCTGCTGAAACTTGCTTAGCTTAGGTGACTGGAACATCGTCTATGCTGCCCCAATTTGCCCTGGTCGTAGCCGGATCTTTGTGCGTGTGGTCTTTGAAGTGCCGAAAGTCCCCATGCCTTTGCGACAGATCTTCCAAGTGGTATTCTCTCCTTCCTTGCCGCCCTGGGTCACCCACTTGTTGAACCACAACGTCCTTGAAGATGACAATGTCTTTTTACACTACCAAGGTGAAACGATGGCGCCTGATGGCAAGCAGGAAAGCCGGCGAAAGTTCTGGCGATGTTCATTTGCAAGCAGTTTGAGGGATTTCGACATCATGAAAGATGATAGAACAGAAGCTGACCATCTATCGAAGCCATTGCCGGCTCGTGCGAGAACCGCCCCATGCTAAGTCAAGAAACTATGTCAACTAGCTGCCGCAAAGTCTCTACAAAAGTTGTTGCAAAGTCTTGTTCTGACTAGTTGCTACTGTAAGTATAGTATATAGGGGTCTCTTGTGGTGCTGACCTCCTCGCCGTTTCGAAGTGGATCCTCCCCCCCTGAGGATGCGAAGTGGCAAGAGCGCTTCTACACGCCTACCAGCTCAGATGCTGCAGTACTCTGCTACCATCGGTGGCTTCAAGATGTGGGTGGAGGGGTGCATTGGGCCCGGGATCCCTCAACGTCAATCAAGAGGAAGGGGAGAGAGGAGCTGCTTGAACGTCTTCACTCGTGACTTGGATTGAAAAGACTTGGAAATTGACACATCATTCACGACTTTGGTCTCTGCAAAATGAGTTTGACGATGGCTGAAAGAAACGTGGGAAGTCTGTGTTGCCTTTAGATACAGTAGATACAATCGCATTGGACATAATACCTGGCACACTTTGTTGATAGTGTTGCACACGCTTGTTGGTTCTCGGACAAGTTGGCACTTCCTCGTCTTTGTTGGTGCTAGTCAGAGTCGATCCATCCACGAGTGAACATGGCCCCCTGCAACGGATCCAATCACCTTCATGAAGGGCATGTTATTGGGAATCTATTGGTGCGACCGACTCTCACAGAGAGGAGTCCTGCAGGCTTTTTCCGCCCAGGCACACGGATCATTGTTGGAGCTGCTCAGAGGCATTGGCCCTGTCACAAATGCTTCAGAGCTGGGGTCGACCTTTGCTGCTTTTGGCGTCGCTTGATCCAATCAGCAAAGTTTACACGTTTTTGAAGGCCGTGACCTTCAGGACACACACACACACACACGCAGATATACATATATATTATATTATATTATATTAAATTATATTAAATTATATTTTATTATATATTATATTATATTACATTATATTATATTATATATTATATATTATATATTATATATTATATATTATATTACATTATATTATATTATAGTATATTACACATATTGTATATGTTATATTATATATTATATTTATACATGTTGAGGGTGACTGCTTTGGCCACATCCAACCAGTAGTTTGAATCAATTAGGGGAGATAGAATTTGTTACACAAGAAACTGTGAATGTTTTCAATCCACATGTGCATTTTTTGATCCCATGTTCCATTCTCCAGACTTCTAACCACTGTGCTCTTGGACGATTTTCAATGGCCCTTGGCGATGCTATCCATTGCTGTCGCTGCCGTTGTGGCCTGTGCTGCAGCCCTGGAGAAGCAGCTTACCGTAGGCGACTTGGCGGCATTTTGTTGGATTAGATGAAGACATTCCGGAGACCTGTGTATGATTGTGTTATTTTTACTGTCTCTCCTATTCTGAAGACTGTGTCTTGTCTCATATATTTAGCTACAGCATTATCACTTTTGAAGCAACCCAGAGACTAAGCGATAGTTCGGGCCACGAAGCTCACCCGGCACGTAGCTCCACCCCAGTAGCGATGGCCTCCAACCTAGTAGCTTCTTGTTGCTAGTAGTAATAGCCTCCACCCTTCTTGTTAAGCTTGACTTCTTCAGGCGAATATCCACCACCTCGAAATCGCTAAGTTGGAGCCGCGAAGGACCTTTGTTTGCGTGGCTGGAGGACCGTCTGCCAAGTCTAGTCAACGTTTCACTGACTTGACCTGAGCTATTTATCTTGATTTGTTTTACTTGTTTTGCTTGATTCAGGTGAAGATGACACAACAGCTATTGGCAATTTCGCGCCTCCAAAGTTTCTTAGATCACCTCAAAGCTAGGTGAGTCTGTTCTCGTATTGATGACAATCTATCAAAGGCGGCTCAAAGCCAAGCCGTCCACTGGAGCTTGTTGGCTGGTTGCCAAAAGAATTTGTGGACAGACAGGTACTCGTCCTTTCGGGGGAGAGTAATGATATGAAGAAAGAACAACAGCACGGAAAAAACTGCTATAAGGTTGGAGGCCATCGCTCTTAGGTGGAGGCCATCGCTATTAGGTTGGAGGCTATTAGAACAAAAGCAAGCACAAACCGTAACCATGAGCTCCGAGGCTCCACCTCTTTTCGAAGTTGGAGGAGGCCAGGCAACCCCCCGTGTTATGTAGCCGCCAAAGAGATGTGGAGCCTTCGCACCACTTCGGTTCGTTTTGTTTTAGATGCTTCACATGGTGTTTGGGAATTAAAAACGAGCTTAGAGCTTTCAGTATTCTCGTGGTATCTTCGATTTTGTGTTTGGACCACATTGGATTCACATCACTAGGCTTTCAGGGCTGAGTCCGCAGCCGCATCGGAGGCCCTAACGCCTTGCTGGCAACTGTCGCGCTGGCGAAGCGCGCGCCACAAGCACTCAAGAAGCCGGGGGGCCTGTCGATAAGTATCTGGGATGTCCTAAAAGCACGGTGACCTCCCACAGCCACAGGAAAAACCAAGAGCGACACTCGTTGGGGTCCACTCATTTTGAGAAGTTGATTCTCCTGGCGCACAAAGACGTAGACACCAAAGTGGATGCTAACCTGAAGCCATAGTTCTGCTCCCTGGACACGAGGCGTTTTCGTGGAACATGAATACTTGCAATTGTAAGTAGTTCGACTCAGATTGAGAAGCCTGTAGTCGCTTAGAATGCTAGCTCATTTGAGGCTCTTGAAGGCAATGCTCGAGAAGGAATGAGAAGGGGTGGTTGAAGCAGCTATTCGTCATTAACTAGGCAGAATAGAATATAATGTTGAAGGCATTCGGCTGTTTGACACAGACTTCATTGCGCTAGACACTGGTGTTGGTGCAGCTGAATATATATATATATATACACAGTTATTTACAGACACTGACACAAAAAACGAATGCAAGGCCATGCACCTAGCAACTTGCGGTGCTGTGTTGCATAGAACTCCAGCATGGATGCAAGTTGAAGAAGTGCAAATCAAGCAGGCACAGGAAAAGGAGGGCAGTTGACTGATTCGCACGTCATGTGTGGCTCATGCGCTCATGCATGGCTTTTGCGGTGAGGACCCTGATCACAACTTGCAGAAGATTCTAAACCTGTTGATGCCCATCACCCAGGAGGTCCCAGGAGGTCCCGACAGTCAGCAGAGCCGATGCGCAGTGTCAGTTGGGACGAAGCGCAGTGTGAGTTGCGGGACCTCCAGCCCAGGAACGAGAATCTCAAGGACTTTTATGCTGGACTCTCAGATTTGACGCGGGCGGAACCAGGTTTGGCGGAACTGATTGCACATAGCGGAACCTCTCAAGGGAGAAAGCAAACCTCTATTGTGATTGTTTGGAACTAGCATACTTATGATCAGTCTTAACTTGACAAGGCTACAAAGTGGGACAGTAATGACCAGTCAAAAAGAAAGACACAGAACCATAGAGAACCAAGGCGGTCCAAGGTCTTGCATAAAGATCACATGATTGAACAGCTGAGAGCTTTTTGTACGAGGCTGAGCTGCTGAAGGAACCACCTTCAGAGCTGGTTTGCCGCATCGTTTTGGCATCGCAGGGCCAGTCTGGGAAGGAGGCCGCAGCACATCCAAAAACATTCCACAAGAGGTTAGTCATGAAAGGCCATTTGGCAGTTGAAATCATTTGTTAGCTCGGTCCCCCTACGCATTCCATCCTCTGAAATGTCGCTGTCCACTCACCGGCTGCGCAGATCAACCTCCCTGAATGGCTTGGGAAGGTTTTGTGCTGCACTTGGCTTTCTTCCCCTTCAGTTTTTCACGGTAGTCCGTAGACTTTCCATCTTTCTGCAAGAAATGGCAGAGCATCTGACGACGACGACAACAACAGCATGTTCCGGACAATTGTGGACAGTGGCTCTTGTTTGGGCAATTTGGCATTTTCGTTCGATGGATCCCCGAACAGAGCCTCTGCCAATCCGATCAGCTCAGGGCCGACCACAAGGACATTGCGGCCTTCGCCCTGGTGAGGTTCTTGAGAGCGCGTTTGCAGCAGGGACTCCCAGCGTGGTTTTCTCGAAAGAACACAGGCCTCCTAAGGCCACTACGAAGGGTGTAAGCCGCTGGTGCGACACCAAGGAGCGAAATGGGTGGACCGGCCACCACACACCGACCGCCTCCGAAGTTGCCCTCATCATTAGAGGAGGCTCGCTATAAGGGGTGGAGTCAGAACTGCGTCTTCAACTGGTCGGGAGTATGTGGTTGGGCTGGTCTTCGGCTTTAGGAGACTTTCTTTGCAGAACTCCCCATGCTTCACACATGTATCAGTTGCAGAGTGGATCTCCCTCTCTCTCTCTCTCTGTGTTGATTTGTCTGGCGATGACCTGGTGGAGCTGTTTGGCTGGCTTATTCAGCATCTCAGGTCCATTACATGCAGGGGTTCTGCACAAAGCTTTAAGCCTGAATGGCTTCGCACTTTGAAGCAGGAACTTTGTCTAATGAGTAAACAGATCTGGTGCTGATTTTTCTCAAGATAGGCAGAGACAGATGATACCTGATGCTTTTAGTGGGCGGACAACGCCTTGGGCACCTCTCTTGAACGCTCATGCCATTGGACTTAGTGTCGCCGATCGATGGCAGGGTGGCCAAGCACTCTGCTGGCTGGAATTGTCCAGGTACTGTTTATGTATTTTTTGAGGATGCAAAGAATTGCCAGTTGAACATTGGCAATCAGAGTAATTTCTCCAGCAAGTTTCAGCAAAGAAAGACACCCCATCAATCTGATCTTTGTCTTTAGAGTGAGCAAGGAGTCCATCGGAGAATAAATCACCCAGGCCCCCTTCTCCCACTTTCAAACCTCTTGAGTGCAACCTTTGTTTTGACAGGCTTGCACCGTGCATAGATTTTGGCAGTTCCAGTCACTATACACCAACGGGAAAGTACTGCTCTCATCATCAATGGGTACAGCAACGATCGCGGTACTTCGCATGAGAGAGAGAGAGAGAGAGGGAGAGAGAGGGAGGGACAGGGATAGGGATAGGGATAGGGAAAGAGATTTAGATAGAGATAGACTCATGACTCATGCTGCTACAATCCTTTCTTCTCTGCATCAAACTGTTCCTGTGTCAATGGGATTCGAGTCTTCAGTAACTGCAAAAACCGGGATGGAAGAGTTCCAGTAGAGGAGACAGACAACGCAATCACTTTCCGAATCAATCTGTACCGAACCAAGATGCCCTGGTAAGACATGTTTGTCACACAGCTGATTCCAACAGAACATGTACTGTGGGTGGTTAACCCTGCTGTCCTGCCTTAAGAAGCGGGATGACGATGTCAGATGTTGGGATGTGGCGCAGCCAGCGGGGACTTCCAAGGTGAGGTGATCATCACTCTGAGCCCGCGGGGACCAAGAAGCAAACTGCGGAAGCAGCACATCTATGAGGCGACATGCTTGGGGCTGCCTGCTCATTCAAATTCAGACTGGCAGACACCAGCGAAAAAAGCTTGGCAACTTGTACACTCCCAAAGCATACAAGCATACAAACTAAAACACCCATTCAGATTCTGGAAGCATCTAAAGCGTGAGATGTACCAAGCCCGTGCTGGTGTAGCCAGGCGCCTAGCCACTTGCCAAGGCCCGGCATCCGCAGAACTGAAGCTCTTTCACAGAGTTTAAATACGAGGGTCACTAAGGTTTTTGAGGAGAAGCAAAGAAATAGACTTCTTGAGAAGGAGACTTTGTTTGGGCTTGCAACACTGGAAACAAACTTTCTTTTGATTTATGTAGTTTCTCACCACCCTGATGTCGCCACCAGCTGCGCGTGCAGGTTTGAAGGGGGAAGGAGCCGATCCCCAGGCATGGGGAAGGTTTAAGTAATCGGAAGTCGTAAGAAGATCATGTGAAGAGCTTGGCACCTGGAATTGTAATGTCCTTGAAGCCCTTGGCAAGATTCTTCTAACTAAAGCGCAACTCTGTAAACTCACGGAGTGTGGCAGAGTGTGGTAGCTCTCAAAAACCATGGAACATTGATCAAGCAGTGTGAGGTGCTTGCAGGAAGACCAAGGACGAGGTGACTGCCTTGGTTGGCTTGGGGTTGGTTGCAGCTTAGGTTCCAGAAAAAAATATGGCCGCTCTTGTTGGGGTCCGTTCCGACGACTTGAATTGCTTCAGTACCATTTGCATCCATTTGCCAGTTGGCCTGCTTTTCACATTCTGTTGGATTGCCCACGTGCTTTGTAGTTTCGCCATACTGCTCGCTAGAAAATCCTAGCTTATGATCCTTCGGATCGTCGTAGGTCAACAGCAGCATCTTCGTTCGCTGATCGTCGTGAGTTCCGAAGTACCATCCTTGATCCCACAAAGAGAAAGCACGAAAGCTACACAAAGCTCTCCTATCCCGTCCGTGTCTGGCGTTCGTCTCCAGCTTTTTCCGTTTCCGTCCTAACGATCCTTTCCGTTCTCCCAGACCTCCCTGCCTTCAAATAGTTGAGGTCTATGGCACCATAATCTGACCTTTGCCTTTCAAGAATTTGCGACAGTTCAACTTGGATGTGATCCATACTCAATCATTCCCTTCGATACAAAGGAACCGACCATTCCTCAAACCAGTCCAACACAGGCGGTAAAGGTGCAGTACAGTAGATCGGTCTTACTTCGGACCCAACGGAGCCCCTAGTAGCGTCCTTGTTCCTAGTAGCGATGCGTTCAATCATGAGCACATTCTCTAGAAAAAGACATGTGCCAGGAGAAGCCGGTGCAATTACCGATCGTATCCAGGCACCTCGCTGACTCTGGACCGTTCAATCTCGCGTGTTTGAGGATTAGTTTGATGTCTTGCTTTTCTTTGCTACAGAATGAAACGATTCGTCCTGGACATTGCAGCTTGCAAAGCTGCCCAGATGCTTTGCTCCGCAGGTCACCAGTGTGGTGCTTAATCCTTCGCCTCATGTTTTTTCCCTTCAAGTTGAGTGCCCAAAGCTTCTCAAGCCTTGAGACATGCAGAGGCATTCCACAGCTAATCTGTTTTAGGAGGTTTAATGGTTAGTAA